CTCTCTCCCCACGCTGAGGATCCCCGGGGAAGCCAAGTGCCTGAACACGTACCACATCCGTTCCATGAAAAAACCCTGAACTCTCAAGGTGTTATAGGCCAGCTTCCATGGGTCCCAGATCACAGCCTGCTGGCCATGAAGCATAGAAAAGATCACCAAAAAAAGAGAAAGTGCTCAAGTTTGTCAAAACAATCCGACCCTTCCAGCCTTTTCCCCTCTTGCACTCCAACTAGAAGAAAGAGGCAGACTTCGAGGTGATAATCTTGTGTGAGGATGAGAGCAGCAACACTGACCGGGACACCACGCAGGCAGCCTCCCTGCTCGTTCCCTCCCCGTAACCTCCCTTCACCGCCCAGGGCTGTGGCTATTGTCTGGAATCTGTTCTTAGTCCCTCCTTACCTGTCTTAGTGCGCTCACCACTTTATTCAAATAAACAGCTTTACTGAGAGGTAATTCAGATCCCGCACAGCACACACACTCAAAGGGCACAATTCAGTGCCTTTTGAATACACTCACACGATCGTGCAGTCATCACCACCCTAAATCCCGAGCGTTTTCATCCCTCACCCAAATCCCCCTACCCAGCATCGTCACTCCCCATCCCCCTTCCCTCTGGCCCCTGGCAACTGCAAACCTACTTGCTGCCTCCGTGGGTGTGCCCCTTCTGGAATAAATGGAATCACACACGGGGTGTGCTTTGTGACTGGCTTCTTTCACTCAGCATACTGTTTGGAGGTGTATCCGTGATGTACTCCACATTGGATGCACAATATTCCACTGTCCAGATTTCCTGTAATTTGTTGACCCGCCCATCTACTGAGGGACACTTCGGCCCTCCCCACCATTGGGCTATTTTGGATAATGATTTTGTGAACATTCCTGTTCATGCTTTGGTGGCACCTGGACTCATTTCTCTCGGGTGTAGAGTTAGGCGTGCAAAAGCTGCATCACAGGGAAACACATCTTCCAGTCAATTTGGGGAACAGCCAGCTCTTCGCTGTCTTTTCCATCTTGATTCCCTGGAACTGTGCAATGGTCCCTGTGTTCCCTTTGTTGCAATACTGTCTTCTGTTCTGGTCTTCTCATCCCAGCAGCAGGGATCAGTCTCTCATCCCAGTGACCCCTCCAGAGCCTGCATGGTGAGAAGGTCATGCTCCAAGTGCAGCATGTGCTGAGATCCGGAAGGATGACCTGGAGGGATGATCTTCCCTCGCCTCACTTTCTCTCTTGTGGATTATTTTCTGGTCTTCCTTGGACACTGCCTGGTGCCTTCACTAAGCCTTTGCACATTTCATTCATTTGCGTTCCTCTGCTTAGATTAGAACATTCCAGTTTTCATAAAGCTAGCCAACTGCATGAGTGAATAAACTGAACTCAATTTATTCAATATATTAACTTGCTCAAGGCCACACAGCTGGTTGATGGCAGAGTCCCCACAAGATTCTCCCATGAAAGACTCTTTTGTTTGATTCCCACTCTCTAGCAGATGATCTGATGTATTAATCTGCGTTGTAGACCCTCTTCCATGTCTACGTTGAGGTGTCCCAACTTCAGCATTACTGGCATTTGTGGTTGCATAGTCTTCATGGTGAGGGCTGTCCTATGTGGCTTATATGATTTTTGGCAGCATCCCTGGCCTCTACCCACTGGATGTCAGTAGCAATACCCTATTCCAGCTGCAAAAAATGTGTGCAGAGACTGCCATATGTCCCCTGAGGGACAAAATTGTCCAGTTGAGCACCACCACTCTGTAGCTATTGTCTTGTTCAATGAATATTGGTGCTGAGAATTGCCAAGGGCATTTTCCAGTCCTATGCACCAGAGAAAGAGTTTTATCCACTTTCCCCTTTAAAAAGGCAGGAAATGAGACTGATACGAATTTAAAAGGAATTTTAACTATTAAGTTGGAATCCAAAAGGGTTTTATGATAAATTTGCAGTTAATAAAAATATTTAATCTACTGGCTTCTTCACTGTCCCAGCATTTGGTCAGTAAATATCAATTTAACCAGATTTCTGACTGTCCTGGGTCAGGCAGTTGGAAGAATCTTATGCAAAGGAGCCATTTCCTCCAAGAATTTCCTGGGTAGCTTGCTCCTCCTCCAGGATCAGAGCTTGGGGTTGCCATGGTGCCTTGGTTTGAAACTGGATGTCGTTTGCTCCAGAAGGGCTCATAGGTTGGAAGCCTGGCCCCCAGTATGGGAGACACAGAGATGGGGAGCCTTTAAGGCATGGGTCCTAGAGGTGTCATTAGATCATCAGGGGAGTGCCCTTGGGAGGGAGGAGAGTAGTTCTCACGGACCTCGACTTACTTTTCTCAGGAGCTGTTACAGACACAGGAAGCTTGGCCCTGCACCCTGGCTCTAGTTTCCTGTCTTGCCCTTGATCTCTACCTGAGCTCCTCATCAGAGCTGAGCCCATGCCTGTGCCATGCCCTTGAGCCTGAAATCTTTGAGCTAAACAAACGAACATTCTTCATAAGTACCCAGGCTTAGATACATCTCTGTACTAACAGAAAATAGGTTAATACACAAGCTAACAAGAAGAGGGAGTTGATTATCAGGAAGGAGACCCTGTAAGAAACGGGGCCATTTTTAAGCACTTCACATTCATGGCAAGGTCCCTCCATCATCAGCCTTAGGACTGAGTCTGAGAAGCAGAAAGGAACACAGTTGCTCTCAGCCAGCAGCACCCAGTTCCTGCTGGGCTCTTCAAACCTGGGTGGGGGTGGGACAGAAGGCCCCCGAATGACTCCCCTGAAGATGAGACTCTTCTTGGCTGAAAATGTCCACCTACAAGATTTATCCTTTCTTCCCTGGCAGAAACAATAAATTTGCATGATGCTTATTAAATGTTTAATTAAAGCCCAATGCTTAAGCATTTTCAGGATGCTATAATAAAAACCCATTGGGGGTGGTCTGGAACCCAGGGAAGTCTGAATTTGCCAGGCCTGCCTCCACCCATCAGATACCAGAGGCCACTTTTATTCCGCTGCTCTACGGTACTAGGTTATTTTTCAGGCATCAGAATTGTTGACGTAACAAAGTGATGTTGGACAACTATCCATTGATAAACATTAGAGCCTTAAGGGGCAGAACCACCAAACTCCCTCCAGCCAGAACCCATGCTGGAGTCCACCTGCTGTCAGCTCCCACAGTGGGAAGGGAGCTGGGCATTAACACAGAGTCTGTGTTGGAGAAACATAAAGATCCCAAGAGCAATTTGGAGCTTACAGGGGAAATTGCTTAGAGACAGGATTTCGCTCTGTTGGCTGTAATTGCCAGTAAGGCTTCCTGGGGGCTCAGTGCTGTGTGTGCTCCCGAGCAGGGAAGCCGGGCTGGCCCAGATGATGCACCCTAGGTGCCCCGCTCTGCAGGGTGAAACCTTATTTAGTAGCTGTATTAATTGAATCCTCACTTTGGCTGGATTGATGGAATTCATATAAGATGTCATATCACTGTGGGAGAGACTCCTTGATGATGTCCTCGGCCTTCCAAGACACGAATGCTTCGTTGCTGGATTTCTTTTCCCTGTTTGTTCATTCATTCATGGACTCATGCATCCCACAAAAGTCTGTTTAGAACCACTTAGCCATTACATTGACTGTACAAGGGTATTTCAAAAAGTTCGTGGAACATGGAATTAAAACAAGTGTATTTTGGTGCAGAAAAGTTGATATCAGTGCATACAAGGGAGTCTTCAAAAAGTTCACAGGAAAAGCATATAAAAAAATGCACATGGATTGCAAAAAAATTTACAACAAGATAAATTGATGTTTAATTTCACTTTTCCGCAAACTTTTTGAAGTCCCTGTGTCTGTTCCTGTAGATGACAATTACTGAACTTCTACTGAAAGCTGTTCTAAGTGACTGATATATGCCATCTCTGCAGTCTCCCTCAGGCCCCGGGGGGCGGGAAGGGTGGTCACTTCTTCCAGTTTACAAAAGTCACTTGCTGGGACCGGCGCTATGGCGCAGTGGGTTAATGCCCTGGCCTGAAGTGCCGGCATCCCATATAGGTGCTGGTTCTAGTCCCAGCTGCTCCTCTTCCAATCCAGCTCTCTGCTATGGCCTGGGAAAGCAGTAGAAGATGGCCCAAGTCCCTGGGGCCCCTGCACCAGCGTGGGAGACCCGGAAGACACTCCTGGCTCCTGGCCTTGGATCAGCGCAGTTCCAGCCATTGTAGCCAACTGGGGAGTGAACCATCAGATAGAAGACCTCTCTCTCTCTGTCTCTCCTCTCTCTGTGTAACTCTGACTCTCAAGTAAAAAATAAATAAATCTTTAAAAAAAACAATAGGCACTTGCTCTTCTGCTCTTATTTCCCCAGAAGTTCTGGTTTCTTTCACCTCCTACTTCTTTGCCTTTCCTTTCCCTGTGTCCTTAACTGACCCCCGACTCTTAACATGGTGGATATTTTGTTTCGAGTGCACACTTTGGTATATTTTCTTTTTAGATGTAGACTCTTGTCCCTCCCTCTGGTTCCAGCCTCAGCTTGAGCCACACCCTCACATCCCTCCACACCACACTGGCTTTCTTCTGCTGCCTCTCATATCCTCTCTGACCCCTGGGCCTTTGCACATTTGCTCGGCCCTCTCCCAATACCATTTTTCTCAAAGTCTGATTGTTCTGTTGACCCCAGTGCCTATGGATGCTTTTGTAAGTCCTGAGAGCTAAGAATGCTTTTGCATGTCAAGAGAAATCTTTAGAAGAAAAAGGAGAATGAGGAGACAAGGAGGATGAGAAGGAGTTTCATCTGCAACAGAAACATAGTCTGCCTGAGCCACAAAGCTTAAAAAATCTGCTGTCTGGTCCTTTACAGTAACGTCGGCTGTTTCAGGGCGTGTTAACTCCAAAGGAAGGGATGTTTCTGTCGTGTTCACCATTTCTTGCCCAAGAATCTAACCCCCCGGCCAGCACACAGCAAGTGCATATCCAAGAACAGTCGGAGAACAGAATGAACGAACCGACGAGCAGTTCTCGTCTTCCTACCTTCAGAGTCTGTGGTGCTTTGCCTCTGAAGTCGATTTCAGATGTCCACACCCCCGCTGAGGTCACAGACCTCCCTCCAGTGCTCGACCCCGCGATGCCGCCTCTCGCCGGTGTCTGATCTGCCCGGTCTCTCTCTCTCTCCAGTTGTCCTCAGTACCATGTTTCCTGGTGTCAAAAATATAAACATAAAAAAACCCTGTAAAATGAAAACGTGATTATGCCTTAATTCGATATCATTTTCATGATGAGCCAGCAGCATGAATATTATTCTCTTTTGGTAACAGGTGAAGTAATTGAAATTTGTAGCAGTGACAATACCTGTTCAAACCCACACGGCCTGCGGGCAGGGTTGTCACAGAGAGACATTCAAACCCAGCTCTTCTGATTGTCATTCCTGGGTCTTTTGTCCAGTCCAGTGCCCTCAGCAGTGTCCCTGGAGGGTATCTGCATTCACTGCCTCAGTACCATCCAGCACTGTGAGTGACAGACGAGATACTGGGAAGGGGCGGGCCCAGGGCTATTCCATGTAGAGCACTGGTGTGTGTAGAAGCCACCTGTGGGCAGCACAGAGACCAAACCAAGCTCAGGTTTGGCAGAAACTCGGCCTCTGCTCAACACAAGCCAAACACCCTGTGCAGAGACCTCCCGGCACAAGTGGGTGCTGCTTCATGTTTGACTCCAGCCGATCCCTTCCGGGGGGGGAAGAAAGGCAGGTGCTAGGCACAATTTGGGCTGCATGTGGTTCTAAGGTTGGAGCAAGCTAGACACTTAGGGTCGTATTTTCACTGGAGGCCGTCTTCCGGCTGGGCTACTGGCTGCTCTTCAACAGCAACTTTTAAAAAATGATTTCCTTGTTTGAAAGAGAGAGAATAGGAGAGGAGGAGGGAGGGAGACAAAGAGAGAGAAAGAGAAAGGGAGAGGGAGGGGGAGAAGAGAGAGAGAGAGGGAGGATGGAAGAGAGAGAGAGAGAGAGAGACCTTCCTTCTGGTGGTTTCCCACCCCCAACTCCTACAACAGCCAGAGCTGGGCCAGTCTGCCGCAGGGGTGACTGGGAACTGCCTACTGGAGCCATCATCTGCTGCTTCCCAGGGTGTGCCATTAGCAGGAAGCTGGAATCAGAAGCCGAGTGGGAGTCAAAGCCGGGCACTCCAATATGGGAGGCAGGCATTCCAAGTATAGTCTCAATCATGGCACCAAACACTAGCCCCTAACAGCCATGGAGGCAAATGTAACAACATGTAACAAAATCCCCAGCTGGTGCTGGCTCTGCAGATTTGCATCACTCACTTCCCTTCCTTCAATTTTATTTCACTCTGAGTCCGGAGCCTGGAAGATTGCCAGGGGATGGCTGTTCTGAGCACCCAGCACACATTTGCACTTGGAACCTGGACTCCCATTCTGGACGCATCCGCACACAGAACTCAGTGCTATTCTTGATTATTTAAAAAAAAAAATTGTTCACAGTTCAAGAGATGGAAGCCTTCTGTGCTACGTACATCCACCCACTTTCAAGGCTGAATTTGATACCCTTGAGTGAACTTCAGAATTAGCAGTGAGGTGGTGTTTCTGTCTTGAATGGCAGCCATGGAAGTAACTCAGAACTAGAACCAGATCACTCCTGGGACATCAGGATCATCCAGGTGCCCCCTGCCAGGCACACCCCTTCCACGAGAGTGAGAACAGCTGATGGGAGAGAGCCTGTCCCAGTGCTGGCCTCCAGGCTCTTGTGGGAATCACCTAAAGCCAGATCATTAACTTGCAATGTCAAGATCCCTGGGTCTCTGCAGGAACCAGGAATGAGCTGACCTCATGCACACATTCCTATTGGGAGGGTCTCATGAAACCCCTCAGATTCACTATGGCACCCATGGTTCAAGCAAAATGTAGAACCACCAATACAAAGAGAGGTCAGAAGAAGATTCATCTGTAGGCAGCAAAGGAGAACCCACCACAGTGACAGTGCCTGCTGCAGCCCCCACACCCCACAGGGTACCTCCTCCTCAGCAAAGCTCAGCGGTTGGCTGGCATCTCAGAAACCCAGTTCGTGAGAAGGGTCCCGGCTGGAGAACATGGATGTGGAGGCCACGGGAGAAGGGGTGTGGACAGGGAAATGCCAGCTGAGGAGAGAATCTGGACAAGACACAAGGTGAGCATGTGAGGAGAGTGGTTTTCAAGCTCTTCTCATGGTCAAAGACGTATCTCCAGAGGTCAGAAGTGGCAGCAGGCTCTGTAATGCTTCACACACCCCAAGTCCTTGGGAGACCACCTGGCCCTTCATGCTGTTTCTGACAGCTGTCACTCAAGGCCATCACAATCCCCTCTTGCCCCATCTGCTTGGCTGTCTTCCTCCGTGTTCCCTCCTTGGGGTCACAGGCCATGCATCAAAGCACTTGTCTGGACTTTCTTGGGCACTGCAGCTGCCCTCACTGTTTTTTGGGGATTTCCTGCATTTTCAGGAAAGAACATGTTAAGGAAAAAGGACCAGGATTCTAAAATTTGGCTTTTTTAGCACTTTTACACATCATATTTATTGCTTCCTTGTTTGATAATGACAATGTTTTTGCTCATTACAGCAAATTTGCAAAGAATAAAAAAGGAGAAGGAATAAAGATATGAATGAAGGTAACCGCTGGGAAACAGAGTCTGGTGTAATCCACATATGAACGCATATACACAAGTATGCAAATGCATAACTGAAATATTTAAAAGAATTTGCATTAGAATGAATGTGCCTTTATGGTCACCTTTTTGCATCATGATGATACCATCAATACTTTCCCAAATAACTGAATATTCTTTGAGAGTTTTCAATCATGTGATTATAAAATAATTTATTTGATTAATTTGCTTATTTGGGGCTCTTCAGCTGGGTTGCATTGTTAGAGTCATTTAATTACTGCTGTGGTCTATATTCTTGCACATAACTACTGAACATTTTTCTAAGATAAATATCAAAAATTGGGGTTACTGGGTGAAAAGCATAAATATTTTAGGGTTTTGATAGGTCAAGGGGTTTTCTAGAAAAGTTGTCTTCCGCCTCTCTTGCCGAGGTAACATGTTGTACAACTCCTAAAAATCAACACCAACTTGAAAAATAATCTCTTTGAACAATCTGCCTTGCATTTTTCCCCTGACCTCTGAGTTCTTGTTCCCAATTCACAACCCCCACAACCAGTGACACCCTCTAAACACCTGCAAGTAGCAAACAAGGGGATAATCAGGCAATGCTTCTATCTAGAAAGCTAACCAAATGCATGGCCACCAAGTTTCATGGTACGTATGTCAAATAAAGAACAAATGCCTTAATGCAGTTGAAAGAAATGAAGGGCATCTTTTGAGAGCCCTGTTTAACTCTTGAGATGTACAAGTGAAGTACTAAGCCATGAGCCCTTATACCTGGTTCACAGCCAAGAGCAGCATGTGTTATTTGGCAGCCACTGTTCGGTGAAGAGAGGAAGTCAAGAAACCAGAATGCCCGAGGACGTTCCCCAGGCCACACCCTGTCCTGGGCTCCACTGCTTACCTTCTTTCTTCACACTCCTAGACAGTCTCTCCTTCCTTTCCCTGCCTACAGAAGCCAATGTCAAGGCTGACGCTAGCAAAACCTGGAGCCAGCACTGCAATGAGAAGAGAGATTTAAGCCTTCTCTGCCCGTCCATGACCCAGGCTCCAAGTCACCACATGAGGTGACCCGTTCTCCTAGCACCCGCGGATCTGTGCCTGCAGCAGCCCCTGGCTAGCAGCACCTTCCACTGGTCTTTCCCTCTTGCACCTCAGAATCCCCGCTCCTTTCCTTCGGCTTCTGTGTGCAGCTCCCAAGCAGACCACCTGGACACAAATGCTTAGCACAGACGTTCCTCGGAAACACTGGGCTGGAGACATGGACTTAAAGATGGGCAGCTGGGGAAGGACCCAGTGGAGCAAAGGCTGAGCCCAGGTGCCGGCTTCAATGCTTCCTTCCTGGGACCTCACAAGGGCCAGGGCTCTGCTAAGTCTCTCCAGGGAGCAACACCTGCTGCAGAGGTTTCGCCTTCCTCCCAGCTGGGCCCACGCACGACCGCGAGTGAGTCACATGTGAAAAATGGAGACGGCTCTCCGGGCTGCTGGGCTTCGGGTCCCCAAACCACATTTATATTTTTATATATGCGTTGGGATGATTCAGCGGAAACTTCTGGTCAAACGGATCACCATAGCAACTTTCAATAGACATCCAGCATGCAAATCAGAGAGAGGAAAGGGAGACTTTCTCAATAGCCCCAAACCACCGTCCTCCGAGCCTCCCGGGATCAGAGGTGACACGAGACCCTTTGAAGGCTTAGCGCACAGTCAGCGGACGTGCAGGTTGACACCTGGCGGGGCTGGCTGGTGTCTTCAGCTGCAAAACTCAAGAAGAACAAACCTAAGAGTGGTTTCTAGATGCTGAGTTCTTGGTCTAGCTGGGAAGACACCTGAGGGCACTGGGAGAGACGAGGCTTCGCCTCAGGATCGTGGCCCAGTGACACGGCCGAGCCTCGGGGTTTTCATCAGCAGATAAGAATGCTGCTTCGAAGCCACCCTGGGTGTGTGCGAACCACTGATCAGAAGGCGTACGCAGTAACTGCTGCTGTCCTCTGCAGAGTTCCTGCTGCCCGTGTCCTTTCCCCAAGCCCCGGATGCCGCCGACAGCAGTGTCGCTGTGATTTCTGCGGCCAAGGAGCTCCAGAAGTCGCCGAGAGCGGAATGGAGAGGTCATGGGTTCTAGGCAATGCTGGGGGAGACCAAGATTTGGAGCTTAAAAACATTTGTGGGACACAGACTACAGCTCACAAGGCTTATGGGATGCTGGGGCAGAGGACGTTATCTTGTTATTACAGGATTTACCATGTCGCATAGGAATTCTTTAGGCTACAAGCACCATAATAACTAATTAACAGTGGTTTAAACAAATAAGGGTTGATATTTCCTCTGCCCACCCACCCACAATTCTGATGGCAGTTGGCTGCTCTCACTAGTTTAGTGGCTCAATATTACCAACACAAGCATCTCAATAGTGCGCATGCTTTTTCCTTATCGCTTGTTTTCTCGTGCTCCTGAGGTGGCTGCTGCAGTTCCAGCCATCCTATCTGTGTTCCATACAAGAAAAAAAAGGGGAGAAATTGATGCACCATTGAAATACTTATATCTCA